TTGCCAGATTGAGAGAAATCTTGAAGAATTAAAACAATTTGAAGAAGAGAAGGCTAAAGCTACGAAAACTGCAGAAGATGGAGCAGCTGGTATGATAAGAAGTTCTCAAGAGCTTTCTAAGAATTTGGAAGAGCACGAAAGGAGTACCAAGTAAGAATTCCAAAGATAATGGGTATATATATATATATATATGGATATAGATATGTGAAAATGGAACAATCTTGTTTGAATAATATGATTTCCTAACATATACGTAAGTCTTATTATAGGGTGTACTAGCTGGTAAGAGCAGTGGAAATGAAGACAAGTGCCTTGAGGATCAATTAGGTGATGCCAAGATAGAAGTTGGAAGGACGGAGACTGAATTAAAGCAGTTGCAGACAAGAATAAGTCATTGCGAGAAAGAGTGGAAGGAGAAAAGCAGCCAGTTATTATCAAAACGCAAAGAAGCTGTTGCTGGAGAGAATGAGCTGAATGTTAGGAGAAAAGATGTTGAAAAAGCTCAGAAGGCTTTGGAATCTCTTTCCTGTGAAGAGTGTCATATGGAAGCATTGCAAAAGGTATGTTTTTTTTCCCTAGGTGGCATCTAATTTTCCCAACTTGAAAGGTGTATGCATCTTGTCTTGTTATCATATGTTAAACATTGTCAGGATTGTGCTGCTAAAGTAGAGATGGTGCAGAAGTTTAAAGACGAAATGCGGATTCTATCATTGCAATTGGGTAATGTGGACTTCAGTTACATTGACCATGCAAAGAACTTTGATAGGTCAAGGGTGAAAGGGATGGTTGCAAGACTAATTAAAGTGAAGGATAGTTCTGGAATGACTGCCCTTGAGGTTGGTAATGCATACTTGCTACTTGTGCAGATTCCATATACTTGCCAACAAAAAAAAAAAAAAATTTAAATTCGAGAGTTGTGTCTTTAATGTTCAAAAATTAGATAACAATATATAAGTTTCTGATCATTTTGATTATCCAATGGCTATAAGTTGTTGAGAGATAGGTCACTTGTCAATTATTGTGTGAATAAAAACCAAACAACAAAGAGACCATATAAAGGTCCTCTCCCTTAATATAACAATGTTGAGATGCTGCTGTTGCTTACGTGTTTTATCATTGTCATGGCTTTAAGGTATTGATATAATCTCACTGATGAAATGTTGAGATGATCAAGCCTTTTGTTATTTTATGATCTCCTTTCTGGTTGCTGCGGGCGGGAAGTTATTTAATATTGTTGTAGACACAGATTCCATTATGGAAAGCAACTTCTTCAAAATGGTGGTCTACGAAGGAGTGACAATAATTCCTATGAACAAATTCAAAGCCATCCTGTCCCACAGAGTCCAAACTGCTGCGGTTAGACTGGTCGGCTCTGTAATTGGCCTTTCCTATTTTTCATTGCATCCTTCTTAAATTGTTTTCTTAAAACATGCATTCCTTCATTTTCAGGTTGGCGAAGGCAATGCTGAAGTGGCACTCTCTTGTTGGATGTGATGAGGAACTGCAAGTATGTTTCTGCACCATCTGTTTCTGTTTCTGACTTTGAATTTTGTTTTATCATATTTCTATGTCTCTATTTAGTTTTTCTTTTGAATGCAAATTATTGGACCAAAAATTAATTAAGCAATTTAGACTGTATTAGCTCCCTAAACTAAGGGCAGACTATAGTCATTGCTTGTTACTTGAATTGTAGTCTAACTTATCGTTCAGTAGGTTTGAAAGTGGTGCTTGTTATAAATGTTATCTAATCACGCCTTATTCTTGCACTATATCTGTTTTATTCATAACACAAAACATAGTTGGAGACTTGACTATTGTGGGATATAAGGTTGTGGATGTAACTAATGCTGTTAAATTGGTTGTGAGTAGTTGGGAATATCAGCAGAACAGGCTGGCATGGCATGTTCCTTGATATCAATGACACCCAAAGTTTCCATCATGTCTAAGTTATTTTCTTTCTGAAAGAGGTGGAACTAAGAAACATCTATGCAGTAACTTCACCATCATTTACACATCATAGGCAGAGGAATAGAATATTTATAGTTACTCTAGAAACTGTCTTCAATACTTTTTTGAATCTAAGAACACTTGATCCAAAACATCATTTTGGCTCATCCCAATTTTCCTTTTCTCATGAGCTTACACCTTAATATGGACAAAACGTGCAGATACCTTTTGTATATCCATGTTACTAAGTGAATAATATGTGTCCTACTGCAAATATGTATGTCATTAACAAATTTCTTTCTGTATTACTGTGTATAATCTGTTTTAATCTATTGATTGACTTGTAGGTTGCCTTCAATAGAAGACGACCGAGTGCGACTTTCGAAGGTGACATTTTCTAGCCTAGTGGGCTTTTGACTGGTGGTAGTCGCAGGTAATATTTACGTGCTTCTTTATCTATTTGACATTCTCATTTGGACTCATCAAACTATTGGAAGAAACTTACACGATTTTTATGCCTAAAGTTCATTTGATACTTGATTTATCTGAATTCACAAGTATTGGGACATTGCATATGCTTTGTGCGATATCACGAGGACGTTATGAAACATTAATGATTGCAGGGGTGGTGGTGATCGATTGAGGCAACTTCATGCTTTGGCAGAGGCCGAGTTAAAACTTTCTTTTCATCAGAAATGTGTATCAGATATTGATGCGAAGGTTTAATCTTAGTTCTAATTAAATCCCCCCCTCTATCTCCTGTTACAAATCTCTATCTTAAATTTGAGCCTTTATTGTGTTTGACCATGGAATCATAGTGCTGTAATCAGACAATTTGTTTATCCCATGGCCAATACCTGGATTGTTTTTGAATTAAACATGTGGAAACATTCTTGAAGTATGGGAAATCTGGAGAATACAGATATCAGAGAAATCTAGAGTCTCAATGTATATGTTGCGATTGTCAGATATCTTAGTTGATTTGCAAAATTCCGGGTATAAATTTGAAATTAAATGTCGGTGTTATATGTTGTCATCCCTACTCACACAAAATGATATGCTACCATGAAATTAAATGCCATCGTTACATTTTGTCATCCCTACTCACGCAAAATGATCTGCTATCATTATGTGAAATATAAACACCTTTATACTATTGTACAACCAATATTTTAGACAAATACATACATTATTGGTTTGCAATATTATATAATTTGCATCAAATTTTGTGTATGATCTATAGGTGTGAGTGTAATTTCTTGGAACCTACCAGTTTTATTATTGAAACTAGCAAACCTTCTTTGACATCATATATTTTTAGCTGGTTGTAGTTATTACTATTTATTTAATATTTCAGATCACAACTTTTGAATCTCCTTTTGAATATAATAGCGTTCTATCCTAGTTATTGAGAAGGTAATTTGTGTAATTAGCATGATATCTTTGCCTAATTAGTCTGATCTCATTTTGTTTTTTATTCTCTTCCTTCAATGACAAATCAATTTGAATATTCATTATGACAATTCTCGTTTTGTTAGGTCATTTAATCTTTGCTCATGCTTTCATTATGACATGCTATCCAGATTGAATCATATTCATATTCTTTTATATGATGGTTTAACGGTATCAATATAAATCGAATGATATTTCCATGTCTCGTTCAAGGAAGCTTATTGAGGCTGTATGTACTCGATTTAAAATTCAGATAGAGGTGAGCTCAAGTTTTATGTTGACACAATAGGACTATGTCAGCTTTGTCATTATCTCATTATTTATTAGTGGTAGTGTAAGTTAGCTTGATGATTTTGTAATAATTTCAAGAGTACTATATATTCTTCTAGTTGCTTTCAATTTTTAGAATCAGCGACATCACACCAACTAATAGGTCTCCTTCATTAAAGGTTTAATGTTTCCATTTTGATAGAGGTGGTAGAATAAATAGCTGATTAGTATTAGGCCATCTAATGAATGCACATACATGCATAGATAGAAAGAAAAACCACAACAGGCAAAAGTGCAATGATATAACATTTGGTCCTCCACAGGTTAGAAGGTTGCCCATTGGGGATGGCATCTGGATAGCTCGTCATAAAACATAAATATAACGGCAATGAATATTTATTGCCTTCATTGTTGAGAGGAAGAATGTTGATGATTTGCGCTTCTATCTGGGACAATCGATATAGATATCAAAAACTATGACTGCTGGTATTGTATTATTAAAATCTGACGGCAAATGATTGTTTTGGAACAATATCTAACAAATATCTTATGGCTGATATTTTTCCTTGATTTTTGTAAATATCTGTTTAAGGCGTTCTACTGTTTTAACTTCTGTAGCCGTTGATCCCATGAATCATCTATATATTTTGAAATAAATATTTAAGCAATAACAACGTAGTCATACTCCTAATATATCTGTGATCGGATATATATGTCTAAATCAACTAGGCCCTATTTGATTGAGGTGGTTTTTCATGGAAAATGGAAAAGAAATTCCATTTCTACACAAATGACATGTTTGATTGGCCAACAATTCTTGGCAATTGAATTTTCACATTTTGGTCCGCACGTGCACAATTCTTAGTTTTTGAGGAATTCATTTTCCCCTGGTTTTGATGGTAAATGGTTTTTTATCTTTTTTTTTGGCAATGAAAATAAATTTTAGGGCTTGTTCGGTGTAGCTTAAAATCCAATTAAAATTGAAAATATAGTCGTTATTAGGTTCTACTCGTCTAATAAAAGTCAATAATTAAGGCTAGTTTTTCAATTTTAATTCGATTTTAGTCTCTATCGAACACGTCCTTATTCTCAATTGTAAAAATTAATTTTCCTTTAATGGACAATTTCCATGGAAAATAAAGTCAAATGAATATCAAAGAATTCAAAATTTTAACATTTTTCAGGTGGAAAATTATATTAATAAAAAATAATTAATTGACAATTCTCAATAAAATGAATTTTAGGCAACTTAATTCCTTGGAATTTATTTTCTTTCCACTCATTCATCCTTACAAGCAAACGGACCTTTAGTTCAAGCTAACTTTGGTCTACTGCTCCTGGTTCTAACTTGTTCTACTGAAATCGTGTCCCTATTATGAAATATTTTATGCAAAGATGAAAAATCATCGCTTCTTTGCAACCGTGCAATGTATCAGAAGTTTAAAGTTGTCAACAACCTGCTTTACTAAGAACATGTATTTTGCAAATCCTTTTCTATTTCCATATGATTGCACACAAGATGGCTTTGTAGAGTCAGCTTCAACAAGGAAGAAATAGGACAGGAGTTGTTTAGTAGACGTATTTATGAACTCATTTTTTCTGTGTATTATTTGATACCTTGGGCATGTGATACTCGAGCACTTAACGTGGAATTTGTTGTCAATTTCTGAGTTCAAGTTTGAAAGAAGAGTGTTAAGTAGAAAAAACCAAGGGCAAAGAAAAAGGTGTATGGTATAAAATTTAAAATGTACATGGAAGTGATAAAGAATGATACGGACTGTTTTACGAAAAATCATGAAGGAAAAGAGAAATAACAAATCAACACTTGTAGACTTTCAAGAGAGATATGTGTGGTCAAGGATGGCCATGAGTGTGTGAAGGTGGTTGGTGGTGGTTACTATTATTAATCATTTTATTTGAAATGTGAGAATTATTTGGAGTGGTACAATTCAAGTGCCAGGTTATTGGTACTTAGTTATTTTTAATTTTAAATCAAATGTCACAATTTTTATTTCTCCAAAAAAATTTATTTACTAGGGCCTAAAGCAATTTAGAGAGAGAGAGAGAGAGAGAGAGAGAGAGAGAGAGAGAGAGAAGAGTTGGTAAATTATGGCCTAGCTTTCTCATTGACTACTGTGATATATATACTGTTACAATACGGTGGGAAATCTCCCAAGCAAGGTAAGGAAACAAATTAGGCGAATTACAAATTAATTAAAGATGATTACATAATTTACAAATGTGAAAATCCCTTGATTTCATCAATCCCTTGATATAGCCAATTAGATCCCTTAATATCCTCTATATCTTATCATGCCCCCGCAAGATGGACGGTCGGGATGAAAGTCCAATCTTGGTCTTGAGAAATTGAAACCGTTGGCGTGGAAGTGGTTTGGTGAGTGTATCCGCTAGCTGATCAGTAGAGGAGACATGAGTCACCCGAAGCATACCATTCTGAACTTGTTCTCGAATGAAGTGATAGTCTAAAGCAACATGTTTCATGCACGAATGAAAAATTGGATTAGAGCATAGGTTGGTGGCACCGACATTGTTGCAGTAGATCATAGGTTGTTGAGGAAGGGTAACACCAAAGTCAGCGAGAAGGGAGCAGATCCAACGAATTTCGGTGGCCGTGGCCGCAACCGAGCGATACTTAGCTTCGGTAGAGGAGCGTGCAACGGTACGTTGCTTCTTAGAACTCCAGGAAATTAGATTGCGACTAAGATAAACAAGGTATGCACTAGTGGAGGTGAAGTCATCTTTGTTACTTGCCCAATCGGTATCAGAGAAGGCATGAAGAGCTAAAGTGAAATGGCGATGAAGCATGATACCTTGATCAAGAGTTCCACTAAGATAGCGTAATAGGCGTTTAACAGCATTCCAATGTTCACTAGTAGGTCGGTGTATAAACTGAGACAATTTATTCACCGTATAAGCAATGAGTGGGCATGTCAACGAGAGGTATTGGAGACTGCCTATAATAGTCCTGAACTCAGAGGGATCAGATAAAGATACACCAGAGTATAGTGTGAGTAGTAGAATAGTGGCAAGAGGCGTTGCAACAGGCTTTGTATTGGTCATGCGAGCTCGAGTGAGGAGATCAAGGATATAGCGACGTTGATTGAGAAAGAGGCCATGAGCATTAAACCGATAGTGACATGGGACACAGTGAGAAAGTGTGACCGAAGAAGGACGATCTAGATCAGTTTGAGTAGTGGAAAATGGAAAGATAGACTCTGCAAATTTGACAAGATGAGAAGTGTAAATACCTGAGGAGGAGGGGTCTAGACACAGGTAGGCACTTTAAGTGGATGAGTACCCTATAAACACACATGGAGAAAAGCGGAGTGCAAGTTTGTGAGAGGCGTATGGCCGAAGCCAAGGATAACACAGGCACCCAAAACTACGAAGTTTAGAATAGTTGGGTGGGGTGCCAAAAAGTTTGGTACATGGTGAGAGAAGACCTAGAGTAGGAGTGGGAAGACGATTTATAAGGTAGACCACAGTGGAGAAGGCGTAGGTCCAATGGGACACGGGCATAAAAGCATGCGAGAGGAGATACAACCCAATTTCAACTATGTGACTATGACGACGCTCAGAATACACATTATGTTCTGGTGTATGTGGAGGAGAAGTGAGATGAGACACACCATTTGTTGCTAAGAAGGTGGAAAGAGCT